GGCGGCCGCGGGACGCGCGCGTCCCCACCCCCTCCTTCTCGGGCGGGCCTTGGCGGCCGGGCCAGCGACCCTCCTGGTGCTGGGTTGCGGACCGGGCACTGGGCTGGGGGGCGGGGTGGGGCGGGAAGCCGGGCGGTTGGGAGTGTTTTCAGTTCCGCCTCCAATCGACCATTCCCCTCTTCCCCTCCCAGCTCCCTCCATCCCATTCGGAAGAGGAAAGAACAAAAGGTCCCGGACCCCCGGATCTGACGGGGCGGGACCTGGAGCCCCCGTCCAGGTAAAGCCCCGGTGCCCGGCAGCCCTCGGGGTAGGGGTGTGTTTGTGTTTGGCGTCGGTCGGTAAGATTCGCCGTGTCACATGGCCACGGGCGGTTGGGGGTTGGGGTGTGGCGGGGTTGGGGGCAGTGGGTGCGCCGGGCTCTTGGGTAGACGAAGATCGAAGCGGCCAGGGGAAGGCCGAAAGGGAAGGGGCCAAACGTGCCAGCTCCGCGTTCTGGAGCTGCTGGCGAGCCTGGTCCGGGGCGGGGGCCAATGTGTCCCTTCCCCTCCGCTGGTAACACACTTGCTAGTTTGTGGTTCTGATTTTTAAAGCCGAAGGGACAGAGTTCTTACTTCAGGAGTTGTTGGGAAGCCGTGTTACGAGCGTGAGATACTTTCTTTGCTGCTAGTTTTTTTGGTCCTGCAACCTTTGTTAACCATAATAGTCTCCGGTTCTGAATTGCTTGTGTGTGCGCACACAAACACGCACACGGCTGTTACTCTGTGGAGATCATTCTTCACTCGGGAAAGTTGCTCTGTGAGTGGAGGCGATTGGTTTTTATCATCCGCTTTGAGAAAGCACGCTAATTGATTTCATGTATTTAAAACTTGGTTTTCCAAATTGTAACTTTAATGATTTTGTTCTCTTCTGGTGGATTACTGGCCTTGGGTTGTGTAGTTTTTGTCCTTTACTTGCTTTTAAGTGGTTATGCTTTCTTTTTGATCCCAAACAAAAGAAAAACAATACTTAGATTGGTTTTGTTATTCCTTCCTCTTGACTCTTTAGAAAGCTAAATACTATCGGTTTGCTGTCAGCAAAACCTTTATTGAAAAGAATTACTAGGTAAAACCGATTTGGAAGTCGTATTATTCATCAAAGTCATGTTGTTTGCTACAGTTTGGAGTATGTCAGTTTTGGTGTTTTAAACTTTATAACTACATACAGTAAAATGGTTAAAAAGAAGTGAGTACGCAAACTTGTTTGAAGTAATCCCATCTTTTCAAAAATCGTCCCTGTAAGTTAATTTCCAGAATTGTGAATGAGTCTGTATTTCCTTTTCATTTTCTGTTCTGATTTCATATGAATTGAACCTATGCCACTGATAGTAAAGATGTTTTCCTTTAGTCTAATAAGTTAATAAATTTGCTGTTATTATGCTGAAAATATATTTGCTCTTCTAGTTTTGATCTTCTTTTAACAAAGATTCTTACATAAAAGTGTAAGTCATACTTAGCAAAGCGTTTATGTTAAATTCAGAAAGTAATACTGATCGTATTTTTAGAGTTCCTTGGTTTTTGTCGTAAAGTTAATTGTGTGGTAGGTAGTAAATAAAAATAGTTCAACTCTTTGGGCATTTCTGAGTGTCCACTTACTGTTAAAATCTGCTGCGTTTAATTGAGTTTAAAGAAGTTCATTGGCCATTTTTAATTAGTGTAATGTGTTGGAAACATCCGTTTCTGGGCTTTAGTAAGATGTTGCTCTGAGAAAGAGCTTCGTTTTTATACTTTGTAGTACATCTTCTAAAACAGTGATTTCTCATTGTAGCTATTTAACAAAAGTTTGGTTTTTCAAGGCTGTAACTACCTGTAGCTAGTCATAAGTGGTCAATTCCCAACACAAACTATAAGGTTCATGAAATACTAGTCTTGTAAGAACTGTGCAGAGTAATTTCCTGTTGTTTGTGGCTTGTCAGTCTTGGTAATATGTTTTAACTCTTAAGTAGGAATTTGGGGGATGGTTTTGTGTATTTCCAGCCTTGGATTCAGCAGAAGTTCTCCTTAAGGGGAACAAAGGTTGTTTCTACTTCAGGATGTCAAGGGAAGGGGGGGGGGGTGCCCTTTTCATTGTCATATTGTAAATGTTAGGATCTTGTTGCAGTAATCTCGTTACTTCTTATTGGGAGAAATAATTTGAGTGAAAAACACTCAGTTTATCTGCATAAACTGCTGAATGTTTACATTTTGAAAATATTTTCACTTCTGGCTTTTAGACCTGAAAACTTTCTTTATTCTTGATGGGTTTTCATTCTGTTGGTTTTGTACCTTAGCATCCCAGAAACCTCATTTTGTAGCAGCTGTTTTGTACGGGTGTTTTTGTAATGCATATAAAAGCTGTATTAAGTGCAGTGTGGCAGATGGAGGTTTATTCATATTCTTGGGACACAAGTCAGTTTTTAGAGGGTTGAGAGGGGCGTGTCTTTTAGCTTCCTTGTCTTTTGATGGGAGTAGAAGAGCCATTTTTAGGCCTTCAGTTTCTGTAGGAGGAAAGTGTTTCCCACTAACTATTGCAAGGGTATGTCAGAAAACGTGAAAGGTAAAGATTTCAAAATCAGTTCAGGAGAGGTTATGCATTTATTCAACAAGTAACTTTTATTTATTGAACAAGTAGCATTTATTCATTTATTCAACAAATAACATTTATTCCACAAATAGTCTTTTCAGTGTGTCAAGCCCTGGACTAGGCAGTGAAGTTATTTAATAGCCAACAGATATACCCCTGTTCCTTAATGGAATTAGAAAAGTGGAAATTCCTCATGCCCCCTGCTCCATTCCCCAGTGTTTAGAATCAGAAAATTGTGTTAGAGTACAAATTGAGGGAGCATGTGATAAATTCATGACTGAGCCACTTCCTAAAGTAGGCTTGCATTGCTTTCTACTCAGTGTAGAGGGCAGCACTAGGGAGGATGTGAAATGTTAATAACTCTTTGTGTCTTTGGAAGCAGCCCATGAATTTTCGGGGGGAACCTGTCACCGTTTTTATACAGTGAATACAAATTGACGATATGGCCAGTCTTTCAGTAGGATGTTTGTTGCTGAACCGATGGACACTTGCAGAACTAAGCCTAATTTGGCATTAGTTTGATTATCCGTTGCCCTTTAGGTATAGAGACTGGTTGGGGAAAGAAAGCAAACTTGACTGAGTCACACTTTAGCAAATGGATCAGGAATAAAGTATAAAAACAATTAGCTAAACTTGAGAATAAGAATTGTTCAGTAGTCTCATATAGTTGAAGGGCCACGGATTTTGGAGTCAGAGAGAGCTAGGTTCCTCTTTGGTTTCTCAGTTACTGTGTTGGGTAGATTACTTAATTCCTGAGCCTTGGTTTTCTGACTGAAAATAGAGGTAATAACACCTACCTCTTAGGGTTAAATGACGACAAACTATCTGGAACATTGCCTGAGACGTGATGGGTCCTTCCAATGATCTTTCCTCTTGCTGTGGTCTCATGGTTTTTAGTTATTTGTGCCCTTTCTAATCCAGATGACAGGCCTACACCCCTATTTTTTACCTGTTGTAGAGTAGACACTAAGCAGAAAAGACCTGAGGTAGCCACATTGTCCAAGTCCATACCTTAAAGCTTTAGTCACAGGAGAACCTTTGAGCCCTATTATCAGAGCCTATTGGCGTTTATTTAAAATGTTTCTAACAAGCCTAGTTATCTGGTTCTAAACCCATAGTAGATTAGAAAGTAGTAGATTGTGGACAGAGTAGGAGGTTAAGAGGGGTTGTGGTGGGGGTGGGTTATAGGATGGGGAACTGTTAGCCTTCTGTCTATTGTAAGAAAAAACAGATAACAGCCTGGCGAGAATAATAAGAGATAATCGACAAGACACAAGTATTCGAAGCCTAACTAGCACGTCTGGGGCCATTCAGTGCAGGACCAGACCTGAAAGCATAGTAATGAATGTTCATCAATTAGGTTAACTCATGTTTGGGAAAATCTTTTTAAGAGTGCAGCAGTCTACATAAAATATTGTAGACTGTCATTGGGATGATTAACAAATGTTCCTAAAAAGGTAAAATATTCTGCTATTTCGAATGACTTACTTCATCAAAGAGCCAGAGTACTTCCTATGGCCAAGATGTTTCTCATTTGCTTTGCCATTCAGAGAGCCATGACTCCAGACTGAAAAACCTATTATTATGCTAGGCCAGTAGTAAAGAAAAGTGATCTAAATGGTGTAGCATCCATGGCCCACCTTTTTTTCAGAGTAAGTCATTCAGTCTTTTTGTTAGTCTGCAGGAGTTTATGGAGAAGTTCACTCAGGTTTTGAGATAAGGAGTGTGCTAGAGATTTCCAGGGCCTGCCTCTTGTGGAGGAACGCTGGTAGCTGCTAACTGAAAGGTCAGCGGTTCGAACCCCCGGCTGCTCCACAGGAGAAAAGACCTGGTGATCTGCTTCCATAAAGATTACAGCCTTGGAAACCGTATGGGCAGTTCTACTCTGTCCTGTAGGATTGCTGTAAGTGAGAATTCGACATGACAGCAATGGGTTTGGTTTGGTTTTTTTTTTTGACAGCAAGGGATTTGGTTTGATTTTTTTTTAGCACCTGTGGACAGTGGGCCAGTCTGTCCATTGAGGGCTTTTTATTTAATATGTGACTGTAATACCCAGTATTAACCTTGCTAATTTTTTTGGATTCTCCTCCTTCTGCCTCAGGGTTACTTTCTAAACCGTCTACTCCATCAAATGTTTATTGGTGACTTTGTACTATGTAGCTTTGGTTATTTAAAAAGTAGTGATATTTTTTAGCTGTAGTATAAAAGTAATCCAGCCTTTTTTAGATAAAAATGCACAGTTAGAGGCTTATTGCTAGTCAGTGATCTGTGTGATCATGTATCTAAAGTGGTGTAACTGTGATGATGTACTTAGTTAGGACATAATTCACTGCTGATTCTAGATCTATGTCTTGTAGGCAGCTCCCAGCTTCAATTCCAGCAGTTTCATGTAGGGAAGATGTAATTTTGCCAAGCTGGTAGATTTAGACACTGCTTCTAGTTTGGCCAGATAGCCAGAAATATTAGGGTTATTCTGTGACTTAACATATTTACCTTACATTCTAAAAGGGGGGGGGGGCATTCTTTTGGAGCTTGAAGGGCTCCTCTTATTTGTAACTGAGCCCCACTGATAAGACAGATGCTTGGTAATTTAGATGTATCTTTAGGTTTGTACTCTTGAGAAAATGGAAATCCTAAAGTGTGATTCATTTTCATTAAATTTTTTGAATTTACTATGAA